TTCAAGTCAATTGTTCTACGATGGACATCAGCAACTGGCACTATCCCTTGCCCAGGCTATTGGATGTGCAGCTCAACCGCCACCACCTTCTGACAAATTGTTTCGTCTTGTTTCGATCGCAAAACAATTCGTCGATGATCCTGAATCAAAGGAGAAACAGGCTAATATGCAGGTAATCTTCGATTTATTTCCTTATGGTATTACTTTGATTTCTTTATGAATTTCATCTTTGAATTTAATCAAGTCAGAAATAGTTCTGTCATTGTACTTCTAGATATAGTGTATTTGAAGCACTGAGCAGTTGACTTTAGCTTATGCTCAGATGCGCTGAAAACCTTTCTGATTAATTGCAGTTTGACGTGCTTTCTGCCGGACTAGACCTTGAGTTTGATGCGGATGTTATACCCACATCGGCTGAGCCTTGCAACTATGAAACAATCTATTTGACCTCACACAAATCGGCTTGCCGTACAGCAGCGTTCAACAACGATGGTTCGTGTTAATGACTTGCATTTCATTTTTTGGCGCAGTTCGGTTTGGGGGTGGGGAGGGAGGGGTGGTGCATCTTGCGCATCGCTACTTTCCATTGCTGTGTAGAGCCATCAAGTGGAGCTCTGTGAGATCTTGTGAAGCCATGAAGTGATTCTAGTCGAATTTTGTAGAGAATACCTGTCAGCTCTTGTAAAGCAATGAACGCGTCGATGGGAAGCAGCGAAAACTGAATGCCCTACCCATACCCCCTCCCAAGCCAAACTGCGCCCATTTTCAATTTCACGGTATGCTGACTGGTATCTGGTGGCTTGTAAAACAATTTTGTATGTACCATGGTTCACAATCACTATGGGTTGCGCTAACTGAGGGCTAGTTAGCTGGGATAAGGACATTCTGCGCTACGTTTACTACCGCTTATTAGGACGAATTGCAGGCGAATCGAGCAGGGGCCCGTTTCCTGATCAGTTTCTTATTATATGTTATACGTATTTGTGGGAAGGGTAAGACCGGAACACCAGCTGGTTCGTGTTGAACGTTTGAAACCGTGTGAGCTCTCCGCAATCTCAGACTGATCGAGTACCGGGAGTACCGGGAGTTCTCCAGCGGCAAACAAGAACTCCTAATGGGCAATGGAAGGCTATTCTCGTTTGGGCAAAGTTAGCAGCCTTTTTGAATAGTATCCCTAAAGGTTGACTGTTCTAAAGGCAGGGCACAGTATTGCGATAGGTGAAATGGTGGTG